AACCTTTATTCTGCATGTTTCTTGTTAAACTAGAAGATAGATCTTGAACGCTTATCTATTCTTGAATGATGATAATACAAACTCAGTCGCATACGATGCGCTTTTTCAACAAAAGTGAAACGTAACGAACATCATCAGAAAAATCTTTATACTGCTAACAAAAATACACCGACATCCTCACCGACATCCCTGTCTAATTGAAATACACATCTACTACGATTTTGAAAATAAATAAGTCTGGCGAAGCAACAAAGAGAAGCGAAAGAAGAATTTCATTAAAGAAAGTCATGCTACCGTCGACGCAAGAAATAAAAACAAAAGATAAATTTTCTATCCAAAATAAATATGTAAGTCGAATAACAAACTCCTACATAAGGAAAAACTTTTCTGATTGTGACAACTTAAGATTTTTAAATGTAGGCAATTTTACGTGAATTATAATTTTGTCATGTGTGATGGTGTCTGGAATATCAGGGTTATCATATATCACATTCTCGTTAAGTAACAATTATGCCAATAACGCTTCAACATTATTTCTAATTTTGAAGGACAAAACATTCAAGTACAGTATAGATTCTCATTGTTATTAAGATCTTGGATTTTGATAATAAATACCAAGAAATTTTTCTGCTCCTGAGTCATTCTGTTCGTTCAATTATAAAAGTAGTTGGTTAATAGATGCAACGACTTGATCCGATCATAATCTTGATGTTCAAAATTTACATCTCATGATAGGAATATTTGATAATACGGATAATCGTGAACTGATGTATAGCTACAAAGCATTTATTCAAATTATTATGATTGCACTTTTTGTTTTGATAATCTATTTACAAAGCAAGAATTGCTACATGAACTCTCATGCTAGTGTTTACTTCATAATACATAGAAAAAACATGGATATGAAAAAGACCTCTTGAAAAAAATTCGGATTGCTTGAACGACAAGTGTTGATTACTTTTCACGTAGGATTTTAACTTTTCAGTATCTGTTTTTCACAGACTTTAGGGTTTATATCATGGAAAGATATGATTGATTATAAGTTTTAATTCCAAGATCTGTGATTCAATTCTACGTCTTTAATTTTCGAAGATATTTATCAATATTAGTTTTGTGAACGCGGAGTAAGTAGTTTTCTCTATTACTAGAAGAAAAACTAGTTGATTTGTCTTAACTCCAGTGAAATACTGAGGATTTTATTAAATAATAAAAGACGAATCTGAATATAACACTAGTTAAGATGTGTATTTTCATGATATACCGTATTAATAGTAGAATTCAGTTCTTTAAAAAGAATATAATCATTTTATTTCAATATAACAATTATAATCGACATATATTGTTATGCACAAAACGATCCTAACTTCATTAATTCTCGTCGATAAAGTCGAGACAACATAATATTCGTAAGAAAGTTTGATGTATAATTAGAAAAGAGTGGAAGCGTCAGAATTCTTAAAAAAAAGTTGTACATAGTTGAATTTTTGTTAACAAATATACCGAGTAGATTTACAATAGCAAATTATAATATACAAGCTATTTGTGTTAAAAAATGTGAAAATAATAGTCTCATTAAATTACGATCAAGACGTCGATGAAGATCACCTACATTTGTTGATGTTGGTCTAATTTGACGTGATTAACGGTGAATATTAATTGCTATAAGTAAACACAACGAAGTCATACAAATTGATGGAAAAAAACAATACATAATTAAATAGAATATTCTCCAAAAAGAATCATAGACTTCCTGTTGAGGGAAACATATTGTACTTGTTCCATTTGATTGAATTTCGAAAAATATTGGCATATGTACATAAAGAAAAGCAACTAGAATAATAACTCCACTAATACGTCGTTTAGCTGTTGTTTTATTACTCCAAGAACGATGTGTTGGTGATGGTGAACTGGAACAATATCGATCAAAACAAGCTAAGATAAAGAAATAAGGTGATAAAGCTAAAGCCATATGGCCAAAATGTGGTCTTAATTTACACAGTATTGGTGAGATAGATCTAACATCAATAGAAAATCCATCAATAGGAAGTCTATTAAGTATTGCTAGATATATAGCTAGAATATTATCAATCGCAGTAGCAATAAAATATAATGTACGTGACGAAAGTAGAAATCTAGGGCATGTAAAAATGATTAAATCAAGAACATTGCCTATTGTTTCAAATGTCATCAGTAAAATCAAAACAATTCTTGTCAATTGAGTAGCTATTTCAAGCAACATATTGAATAGATAAACACCGATGAGATTCTTACTGATAAGTAGGCAAACATAAAATTAATAGCAAAGTATGCTTAACATTGCTTTAATAACTGTCTCTTTGAAAGAAAAAAGTTCTTTATCTTATTTTCTTTGGATATTTCTTTTTATAGAGTATCATAAATAAATAGTCACGATCTAGTCAAAAGCTACACTAATTTCTTTGTAGTTGATGAGAAAAATATTCATAATACTCTTTTATTAAGATATTCTTCTAATGAGTTCTTTTTGGTAAATGAAAATTGTGAGAGGAGCATAATACGAGACAGAAAGTATTCCTATAAAGGAAAAAAAAACAAAGCAGAACACACATTCTCTGATATACAATGATTATATTCGGAAACAGTATAGTCAATGATAATGTTAAGAATTAGTTGATAGAATCAAGGTATTCAAACATGATACCCACATTTCCATAAAAACTAGACTTTGCACTTACAGATCAATGTGTTTTTCAACCAATTCAGGATGAAAAGGACTTTGAATGGAAGTTTTGAAAGTAGATCACATAGTAATATGAAATTTTGTAATAACATAAGAATAGAGATCGTATGACTGTCAAGGCCCATGCTTAACATAATGATATGGGATGTTTATTAGATAACTACCCTTTCTATCAACATTTTTTGAAAACTATCATACTGCATGGCATGCACAATGAATTAAACAAGAAGTCATTAATGTTAAACCTACTTAAACATGATTAATTTTTAATTTCATATGTGGAGAATAAATTATTTACATGGAATGCGGATATTTGAACCTTCATATAAAGAAATAATTGATACAAAAATAGATTTGAAAGACGTGGAAAATTTAAGATAAAATACTCTTATCGTTATATAAAATATCGTAATAAATAGAAGATGGTAACGTCAGTAAAATCATATGAGATAAACCTTTCTAATTATATGTTGAAATCCACTAATTCTATATATAATTACTTATTTATTTTCACGCTGATAGTAGTAGACATGACTCAGAAATTCAACATTTTACATCAATTGAAATAGACTACAAGAGATTCCAAAATATTCTTCTGATATATCCGTTGTCGTGATAGATTATTGAAGAAAAGGGAAATTATTTAAGCAATTTGATAATATTCGATTGACAACTTGCAGTAGCAATTTCACATTTTAGCAGCAAAAAGAAGAAAACTATACTACTTTCTAGAAATAGTTGAAATAAAAAAAAAATGAAATATTATTATGTCAGTAAATCATTTTCTTGCGCTAGATGGTCTGCCTCTTGAAGGTGTGGTTTATGGAGGTGTTTCTTTTATCTATAGAATCGTACCCTATAAGTTGTGATGGAGTCACTTTTAGAAACTATATTTATTATATAATTGAAAAGTACGTCTTCATGTGAATAGATTCTTAATATAAGAAGTTTTCGAAACCAATACATTATATTTGTCCTATTGATCATCTTACACTGGATAACTGATCCCTTGTCAACCTAATTGTTTTTTTCTAGTATTTCTCAAATACACCATATATGCCAAATGAATATACATAATAGAATTAAAGAAAAAACATCTAGGTCATATCTATTAATTCACATTGCACTTTTGCATGATATTTGCTTTTAATTAAATACATTATTGCTCATTCAGTATATTTATTGCTATACTTAACTGTTGCTCGTTTTAATTATTATATTGCTTAATTAAATATAAGTCATTACAAAATAACTGGCTTCTGTTTCTAATGTCATCAAAAATAAAAACAGAATATTGAGAAAATCCCTAGCAATAGAAAATTTTGAATATCTCTGTATTGTAATCTGATGAACTGATATTTTCATTAATGACAGAGAAGCGTTCATTACTTAAATCTATAACAAAAATTTTGATGATAATTTCTCTGAAGTATTACACGTGACTCCACTAAAGACGTATGCTTTCTTGTAGATTATTATAGTTCAGTTTCAAGTTTTAAAGTACAAAGATATACATATGTGTTCATGTTAGTTTTTGTCAATGCTTTTCTTATAAATATAAGTAATGTACAGACATCTATTATCGGCAAAAATATCAATTCATTAGGCTATAGTATGGACGCAATTTACAAATTTTTCTTTTGTTAGAGATAATTACAGGATTTTATTTGCTTTTGATAGTATTTTTAGCTATGAAATTTAAGTACAATGTATTATAAATAATCCATCATAATCTTGTCGAGTGCCATACGCATCTATAGATATTTTAAATACGAAGTATTACTAAGATGTTCTATGTATGAAACACTGGAAAATACGATTGTTCTATTGACTGCTTTTATTCTTGAAAAACTATCAGTAACTGATAGTTCTACACAACAGATATGGCTAAAAATAGAAATTTAGTAAATAAATAGGTTAGGTACAAGGTGCGAACCAACCGTCAAATATGCTATGAAGTTCATTAATAATTTTGTCCACAAAGCAATTGACAAAGCAAAAGGTCAATCTCTTTGAAGAAATATACAGAATAATTAAGATTTTCCAAACGTACTCGGCTCGATTTAAAGCATGAGTAGGTTTTTATATTGAGGATAATATCTTGTCTTAATTTCAGACTACGACCAATAAGAACTGCACATTTTAAAACGCCACAAAAGTAGAAATGGATAGTTTTTATACAAAGAGTTGCTTGTTGATGAAGAATCATGCCAAGAATTGATTGAATATTTGGCGAGTAAAACTAGATTATAAAGCAGTTAAACATGTATTATCATGATGTAAATGGCAGTGATTGATGTATCTATAATTATTACGTCTGATATCAATGTTGGCAGTTAAATCCAAGTGAATTCTAAATCATTGTATTACTTATTTTCTTTTTAGAATTTGAGATAATCATTGCTGTGTATGAAAGAAACTGAGTAGTATGTATGAAAGAGAACAATTTGCCACAGCTAATCTCATTGTTTTTCATATCTCTACTATATATAATGTCTATTTTTTTAGTTTCAGCAAATCTTTATTATACAAGACAGAAAACAAATACATATATAATATATTTTAGTTCAATGTTGATTATCCAACATGCTTTTCAATTGTTGCTAAACAAGTGTTGTTTCCAAAATAATAATAATTTCATAAGTTCTTGTCGATAAATTCGAGATGACAATGTATTTACATAGAAGTTTGTTATATAACTAGCAAATAATGGAATTGT